GGGGAGGCCGGGTTTCGTTGTTCCGAAGGGGGAAGGACTGGGGAGGTCACACCGCCGTAAGGGTGGGTCGGGACGTGCTGCTTTTTGAGCTGTACGCTTGATAGCAGCTGGGCATCAGCCAGCAGAGAGCAGCGGGAATTGTTGTGTCTTACTGACTAATAAACTGTTCTCAAACCGCTGTATTTAAGCTGCAATCCGGGAGTTCCTGCTAGGAAAGCTTCACGAATGTTGTGCTTCTTTACAGAGAGTTGCAGAATTAAAAGGCACAAAGCAGACAGCAGCTGGTTCAGCTGCTAGCACGTCATCTCATCCTGTCAAGAGAAAAACTGTTGACACAGAAAATACAGAGTTAAAGAGAGTAAAAGGTAAGGAGAGAAAAATACTTATCAACCCCTTGCCAGAATCCTGCCGTTCTACACCTTGAGTGGTTCGGGTTGGTTTTAAAAGGGAAAAAGTGTGTCTTGCCCTTTCTCTGTGAGAAGAGGGTACTTTGGTGGTTTATTACCTAGTTTTCTTCTGGGCTGTTGTGATAAGTTAGGTTATGGCGCTGTGGGCTTGCTCCAGAAAGAACCAGAAGCAGTGTGTTGAACAGTTGAAACGCCCAGAATTGGTGTTAACTCCTTTTCAGTGGGATGAAGCCACTGGTTCACCTCAGACCATGCATGAACCTTCATACTAAAGGAAAGCTATTTTTTTTTCTGCTTGGTCCTACTAAACATGTAAATACATGAAATAATACATGAAAGTGCGTTTGTGAGCTTGCTGCTCTAGTAGGAGTCTGTTTGAGAGATACTTCTTTTAAAAGCATGGATTGTAAGAAGTAACTCTTGGCTATTATACAGGTACAGACGAAAAGCCACACACATCTACATCTGGGTAAGTAGATCTTACTACATATGAGTTTTTTGTAACTGTACCAACTGCTGCATTCTCACTCCCTGTCTCTCCTTCCTGGCCAAGGGTGAGGTGAAGGTTCAGATAATCAGCAGCTCGTTGGCTCATTTTCTAACGTGGGTGAACACGGTGGCATCTTCCTCAGTGCAGATGAGAAAATCATGGTATTAACTCTGGAGTCTCTGAGAAAACAGGAATTCTTTTACTGTCACTATCAGACTTCTGAGGATTAATATGTGGTGGTATTATGCAGTTAGCTAGAATGAAAATAACTAGATTGCGGCATGCGCTCTAATCATTAATGCTAGCATACTGCAGAAGATACGGTAGCTTGAAATTAAGACAAATGTGTATTTAAATATACACTTAAATGGTATTCACAAAAAACAGTAACAAATGTCATCAACAGATCTTTATTAAGAAGTTTTTGTCACTTAAAGTTCACGTAGAAGCGTATCAGGCAGCTGAACTCTCACAAATATAGTACTGTATTTGATTTCAAGGGATTGGGTTAAGCATCTTACTGCCACTAAAAGTTTTCTGACGGTATTTGGACGTCTTTTGTGTGGTTGGTAGATGTCACACTGCAGGACTCCTGTAGGCCTCTTCACAGGATAAATTATTATCTTGCATGGATACTACGTGCTGTTACCTTGTAGAAATGGTGAGTGTGTGCGCGGAATTAACAGTTGAGAGGTTTGTTCATTATGCAGCTGATCAGCATGGTTATTTTAAAGTACAGCCTTGAAACATGTTTGGCTTGGGGGCCTGCAGATATTCTAAGCAAGTCTGGGTTTTCTTATTGCTGAGCCTGCGTGGCTCTTCTGAGCAGCAGCAGAAAACAATTATGTGCTGCCTTCGGGCAGTGGTTACATTGGTAGCTGTGCAGTTTAGGGTATTGCACAGTATCTAAAAGGCCATATTGCTTACAAATTGAATAGGCTTCAGATGCTGGACTGTGACTGACTCCTGTGGAGTTCGAAATAGTTACGGTGTGTGTTCTTTGCTAGGATACCAGCAGATTTTTTTGATGAAACAGAGGGAGACAGTGCAAACAAACAGCTTTCGAAGGCTCCAGGTCCTAGTTTATTGTCAGGAAATTATGATGATGACGATGATGGTGATGAAGAGGAGGAACAAGATCAATCAAACACATCTTCTGTTATGAATAAAACGGAAATTCCACCTCCAACTCAAGAAGTAGCAGCTAGTGCTCTGCCTGCAGGTAATGCTGTCTGATACACTAAGTGATTCAGTAAGGAGAAGCTGTGTTTTAACTGATGCTAAAGTGTTTTCATTTGTTGTTCTAATTATTGCTGTTAGCTGGTTAGAGCGTGTTAATACTGGAAGTACAGAAAGGAGAGTCTTCACTAGTCTGTTTTTGTGTGGTGTTTTCTTATCACGCTTATTGATTTTATGTTTTAATTGTTTGAGTCTGTCAAGTTGAAATAATATCATAGAATCATAGAATAGTTAGGGTTGTTCTTCCCTTGATTCAGTAAGGTATTAATTGAAATTCCTGTCTAGTCAGAATTTTATAAAGCAGCTTTAACAGTTGTTCTTTTTGGTCATAGGCTTCTGTCCTTTCTTACAGACTTCTTTGACAGCAACACCACAGCTGCTCCTATACTTCCCCATTCCGGATCCATACAGAAAGCAGAGATACAGGAGAAGGTAGTGGAAAGGTGAGCAGTCAGATCAAATATTGATAGATTTGGGAATTGTCAGTATTATTCTTAAAGGAAATACAGACTGTGATGACTTAGAAATCTTTTACATTGTTAACTTGTATTCGGAGTAGTTTGTATATATGTCAGCTTCTAGCATCATTTCAGACAGGTATTTGGCATCCTAGGGGCAGGATGAGAGACGGAGTAATGCCATATAGTGTCTTAGACATCTCTTATTTACAAATCTTAATGCACGATAACTTGGAAGCTCAATGTCAACCACTGCTTTTAACTGTTCAAAGAAAATAATTTCTTTGTTCTGCAGTAATGGTTCGGCTCAGTTGAGCACTTTCTTACATAGTGGTTTAGGCTTTCAAAAGTAGAGGCTGTGCTGTTAAAACATCTGTGTGCTCAGGACACTGGAAAGAATAGTTTAAGAAGCCTAAGCTCTTCTTTTGACAGTGAGATTTAAACCTGTTTGTGCAGTTTCTTGCAAGTTAGGTAAGACCAAATTGAAGAAACAAGATTTGATGGTTGTAGGTAAAACTCAGGGTATAAAAAACTTGCTTGATTTCTAGACCCTTTTATAAAAGATCATGTATTTTATTCTTGACTATTTTTAACTCCACAATAAAAGAGGTTGTACAGTATTAACTTGGGATAATACTAATCAAACATTTCAGGAAAGAAAACACTGCTGAAGCTTTGCCGGAAGGTTTCTTTGATGATCCTGAAGTGGATGCAAAAGTAAGTGATCTGTACCTTTTATACTGCTGGGTTTATTTCTGCCAGTTGTAATAATTTTCAGAGTAGTAAAAGATGCTTTTGCAGGTAATTAGTAGTAGCAGAATATAAGAAAATGACACAGTTATCTAGAGTAGAACAGACTATTTCATTTGGAATGATCATCTAGTCCAACAGCCTGACCACTTCAGGGCTGACAAAACGTTGAAGCATGTTATTAAGGGCATCGTCCAAATGCCTCTTAAGCACCGACAGGCTTGGGGCATTGACCACTTGTCTAGGAAGCCTGCTCCAGTGTTTGACCACTCTCTTAATAACGAAATGCTTCCTAATGTCCAGTCTCAACTTCCCCTGGCACAGCTTTGAACCATTCATTCTGTACTAGAAAATATGAAAAGGGATGGAGGCAGGCAGGAAAAGCTTATTAAATCATTTTTGATTTAGTGGCTCTTAAAGAAAACCAGAGAAATGTTATTTGTTGGTTAAAATGCTGGACTGAGATTTAGACAATCCACCCATTACTTTTTATTTCTTTGAGTCATCCCAGGAAAAGCATTTCAACTAATTTGTGTATACAATTCTGCTTCAGAATCAAGGATATAAAAATAGTTCTCTAATCTCCCGTGAGAGATGCTGTTGAAAAGTGTTTTGAGTTACTATGTGACTGATACTGTACATCCTTTTACAATGAAAATATCTAGATTGTGGTATACACTGTAATCTCTAGTACTGGCATACTATAGCAGTGAATTTTGTCTTCAGCCCTTGTATCTTTTACCACTATAGGCTTTTTTGATGCTAGGGGAAGAAAAGAAATGTGGGCATTCAGCAAGTTTCTCAGAAAAGCCCCACAACAAAATCTTGAAATTTTGATCAAAATAATTCGTATTTTCCTTCAGCTTGCACAGTACCAAATGACAAGCAAAATAAACACTGGTATTTGAAATACAAGCCTTTTTTTTTAGTTTTCTTTATAAAGATTTGATGGTTTTCCTGCTTTATTGAAATACTAGTGTTGTAGACTCACAGTCTTTCTTATTTTCCTTCAGTATTTCTCTGTTGTTCACACTGTTTGATGGTGTATTTAAATTGGATTGTGAGGTTGAGCCACGACTTCTGATTTGGAGACATTCCAAATAATGCTTCTTCATGTTTAGTTAATATGTTCAGTTAGTCCCACTGTCCCAATAACAAGCTTAGGTGTCTCTTTGCTCTGGCAAGATTCTTTTGTCACCAGCAAGTCCCACACATTGGCATATGTGAACAGTTCTGAATAATGGCATTTTGAATATTGAAATATGTAGCTGAAAAAGCTACACTTTTCTTTCTTGCATATGACTAATTGGATTGTAAGGTTTTTCAAATACTTGGTTTCACCATGAATTGGGAAGCTTGTACAGAGTGGGAGTGCCTAGCAGGCAAAGGAGAATCTGCTTATAGCTGTGAGGACACTGCTTTAGTGATCTTTGTTCTGGTTATCACCTCAGCTGATCAAATTTACAAGTGGACACATGTTCCCATCAGCTTTTCCTTGACTTGCTTGCAGGTGCTCTTCTTAATCATCCCTTTCTAAGTTTAGCTAGTATGCAGGGGAAGGAAAATGTTTCTGACATTGCTTATACGGAGATGGCTGCAGTGATTCTGTGTTGGAATTATACACAAAGTAATTATTTTCAGAATTAACAGTGAGCACTCGGAAGGGAGATTGTGGGCATGAAAAATATAGGTTCTTCACATGAGGGATTTATAAAGCCTATAAATTCTGGATTAGATAAATATTTCAAAGAAAAAATAGTATCTTTAGTGTTTGAATTTATTGTAAGAAATACAAATAATTATGAATTACAAAAGACAACCACAATGCGTAATAACACAGTACATACACATATGATATAGAAATAATCACAAAACAGAAAAATGAAATGATGACTTCCCAGTTCTAGTTTGCTTGGAAGTCTCTAACTTATTCTATAAACTTAATTCATACTATTGGATTTTGTATAATCGTTCAGGAACAAAACATAACAAACTGTTGTCATGATGGTGACCAATGTTACCAAAAGAGAGGAATGAATAAAGGAAAAATAAAACCAATGCAAAAAAATGGTGTCATGAATTACTCTGTTCAAACTGCTTCGTTCTCCTACCTATAGGATTTCTACCCAGCCCAGAGCCAGGCACAATCTGTGATCTAAAACATGTTTTATGCTGTATCTTCCCGGTCTTGAATTGTGGAAGCTTTGGTTACACAGGCGGATTATTTTAGTTATTTGCTTGTACTAAAAGCACAATCTGGTTTTCATTACCTTAGTTGTAGATCTTCTTAAACAAATTCTTACAGCTACTACTTCTTCAGTCATCTTGTCTTAGTAATTAACCTACCACAAAGGAAAAAGCTTTGCATCTCCTAAAAACTGGTACGTAGCTGTACTATTTCTTCTGTTAGCCCACAAAATTACACTAGTTTTCAAATACTGTCAGACTATCTAACACCAGTCAGACTAGTGACCGAATCATTTTATATTTTATGTTGTGCCAAAGGCAGATAATTCACTGCTTTTTGGCTTGTGAGATGGCTACTAGATAAGACTCAACAGGAAGCTTATGGAAGAACTTAAAAGTTATTGCCTGACATCGTGAAATTACAGACCATGAAATTAACAGACTTAGTCACTTTTGTGGCTCAAAACATTCCACACCATCCATTCTTAGTCAATTATGCTTTAGTGCTACAGTCAAGGATGTTTTAATCCAGGAGTAGAGTCAGATTTTTTCCTCCAAAGCCTCTGTGCAACTGCATTCTTTCGTTCATATACATTACTTGAACTGAAGTATGTCAGCCAGACTTTTCTGAGAACATGGCACTGTTTATTTGCCCTATTTCTCCAGGTGTTTTACAGTGCCCCAAAGAGTCACTAGACATAAATTGTTAATAAGCCTGTTTCCCGTTCCTTAGGTGCGAAAAGTTGATGCTCCAAAGGATCAAATGGACAAAGAATGGGATGAATTTCAAAAGGCAATGCGACAGGTCAACACAGTAAGTAATGGAATCTATTTTTATTGATTCTAAATACTATACACAATAAGGAAAACAACAGTTTCATGCAGCTCTGCAGAATGACTGACATCTGCATTTATCAGCTGTTGCAATGCAGTGTATGGTTAAATGCACTTTATAAATGAGCAAAGGATTCCTTCTGTTTTCCACTTATAGGAAATTAAGTTGAAAAAACTTTTGATCAGGATCCAGTCATCAGTATCTAGTTACATTTGTTAAATTGTGTTTAAAGAAGATACCCTTTAACTCAGATCAGCATCCTGTACCCAAACAGGACATAATTGTGGGTTCTTGTTCAGATGCAAAACATTCATATTTTAACCTTGAAAAACACAGAACAAAACACCACCCGTTTGTCTTTTTCAAAAAGGATCTATAAGGTGTAGGTAGCCTGGGGTTTATGGTTAATTTTAATTTACTGGAAAGGAACCCCAAAATTTGGGAAAGTGTCAAAAGATTTTGTGTGAGACACGTAAGTTGGCCACACATTTTCTGTACTTTTTTCCCTGTATTTTTTACTGCTCAGCATCGCATGGAAAGTCTTCCCGGAACACGTTTTTATCTGCCCTTTTGTACAATATAAAACTGTCACTAAAGATACATCTGGTGTTCTCAATCTTCCTCTAGAGTATTTGCTAGTTTTTTTTAATTTTAATTGTAAATAACTGCTCATACGTCAACTGCTAAGAAAAGTGGTGCAAAAAAACTTATCATTGCTCATTTTAAAGCAGTCAGCACTATAAACAGAGCGAATGTTCATACAAAAGCAATGGTGGATACATTTTGCTAGCATTAGCCATTCAGATAATTCTTCAGCTTAGAAGGAATCTTCTCAGTTATGCGTGGACCATTGATTGCATAGCATCTCCCAGACATTCAGATTTGAGAAAGTATATGCTGAAAAAAATAACAGGTTAGAAACACTTTGGGATCTAGTGGGAATATTTAACCAATACTTCCAATAATCATGTGTAATTAAGTCCCGAACACTGGGACATAGCTCCTAGTTCAACCTCAGACTTTGGATGCTCGTAGTTTGTTTATACGAGTTTCAAATCGTACTGTATGGAAAAATTCAAAAGGTTAACCCCAAAGCAGCCAAACTACTTTTAGTTTTAAGAAAAAACATTTCCATTTCAAATTAATTAAACCAGATGAGGTTTTTTTCTGTAGTTGCCTTCAAAGTCTTTTGTGAAGGTGGGAGTGTACATGTAGGAGATTGACATTGACTTGAGGTAGAGGGGAGAAGGGGAAGACACAGACATCTAAAAGAAACAACAGTGGAATTCAGGATGAAGGTGAATTTTCTTAGTGCTTTTCTGGTTTAGATTTCAGAAGCAATAGTGGCAGAAGAGGATGAGGAGGGACGACTAGATCGTCAGATTGGAGAAATTGACGAGCAGATGTAAGTAGATCAATTTTTCCTCAAACTTTCTGTTCTCCAGCAGCAATGGATTGCTATGTGACTAGAGTGATAAAAACATTTTCAATCTTAGTCTTCTGTGATGCTGCCTTTCATTAATCACTGAAATATTTGAAAGCCCAAGACTCCCTCAAATTGCAGAATGATACCTAATAAAAACATTAATTTTGTTGCAAAGTTATGTAATGATTTGCACAGAGAGAGTGCCCTGGAATTACTGTAAGTACAGCAAGCAGGGATAGGCAAAATGAAGTAATAGCAGGCAACTTCTTTGAACAAACTTTCTCCCTCCCGCCATCAAATACCACAGTTTGTATTTCTCTGTGAATTCTGACTGATGTAGAATTGATGTGAATACTTTTAAAAAACAATTGCACAGCAATTAAGATTTTGATAGATTTGTGTTGACCATCCATTTGCTGTACTGAAAATGTCCTGTTCTGTGAACAACTCTCCTTGTTTCTAATTAAAGTTTACTTAAAAGATTTTGTTGAACGATGTACTTCATTACATGAGGTGTTTGGGGTTGGTTGGTTTGTTTGTTTTGTTGAAATGGTAGTGGTGGGATAAGCATGACCTTAAACTCAGAGAAAGCCGAAATACAGCTTAATGGAACAGATTGTTACTATCATCATGTAGCTTGGCACGTTAATTAACAGTGATTATGGCAGGGGTAGTGATTAAAAAGAAAAAGATGAATTCTGATTTTAATTAACCTGCAACAAAAAGAAGACACTAAAAATTAAAGCAACACATGCTACAGATAATCAGCATATAATGAACAGTAACATTGGGTGCAAACTGAGATTTAGTAGTACAGGAATGTCTTTTAACAGTGTTCATGGGAGAGGGCTTTTGAGCTGAACCTGGCTGTCTTTAAGCATTCATTTTTCCCAGAAATCTGTAGAGAATTTCAAGTTTGTTACCATAATTATTTTTCCTCAAAGTAAAAGTTCCAAATAGATTTTTAAAGACTCTTTTATCTTTGTCTTCTGAGTGTATTTAAATGCAGGCTATTTAGAATTAAATTAAAAATGAAATTAATCCCAGTGACATTCATGTTTTCCTTAGCCGTCATATCTTCAGCTGTGACTGCCTGTATTGTATTGCAGACAGGCAAGGGAGAAGAAGATTCAGATAGATAATAATCTTTACTTGTTGACTTTTCCTACCAAATAGTAATGAAAGAGGCAAAGATGTATATAAATCAGGCTGATACTACTTGGTATTTTTAATAAAAAACCCTATTAAAATGGCTAGAGTAATTGTTACAAAACATATTTAAAGGACAGAACTTTAAATGGAAAACTGAACGTTGTGGATCCTGTTTACTTAAAATGTTCTGTTACAGAACAACATTAAGCAGATCAGGAATCTGAACACTTGTGCTGCCTTTTTATTTTCAGAGATGCCACCACTAAGTTGTCAGAATTGACAGCCAATTGATAGCTCACCTTTCTACCAGATATGAAAACAGGTGGAGCAAAGAGTGGTGTCTTTTCTTGTGTGGATGTTGATCCTGTGCTTTTTAAAAACTGGTGGCATTGCTGTTGTTAAATATTTGGTTTATATCTCACTGCTAGAGAATTTACTACACTTCTCCTCTCCTTTGACCTGTTTCCACTTGATTAACACAGAGATGATGCAATAGCATATTGAAAGCTTATTTTGTATTTGATGGGAAGCTGCAGAGCTTTCTTTATCCAAGTTAAGAGCAGCAAAATCCAGCACTGTAGGAAATCTAATTAACATGGAAAGGCCACAAGTATTAATAGATGGTTTACTTTTCAACAGTGAATGTTATCGCCGTGTTGAGCTTTTGCGTAACCGCCAGGATCTGATGAAGGAGAAATTAAAGGAAGCCATGAGATTAAAAGCAACACAAGAGAAAGAGGATGAGGCTATTGGTAGCGAAGATGAAGAAGAGTTGCAGGATTTGCTGTCTCAAGACTGGCGGGTGAAAGGGGCTTTGTTGTAGCGTTTCTGCAACATGGTTGATGATATTCTCTTCATCTGTGATGGTACTTCCACTGTTAGAAGTGAGATGCTTTTGTTAAATATTTATGTAAAGAGGATTGTGAGGTGGTAAAGAGCCAAGTGTATTAAAAACATCTTTGTAGAGCCAATGGCGTATTACTTGCTGTAAAAACTGTATATTGCAAATGTTTTACAATATAGAATGTACCTTTCATATTAAAATTATTGGTTTCCTACCAGAGGTATTTTAATGGGATTAATAAGTAACTGAAGAGTCGTAAGGTTTTGGAAGCATTAGGTATATATACTGATTTTGTACAGAAGTAAAGGACTTACAGTAGTGTATGGAGTTTTCCCAGATTGGGGGGTTAGGAAAAGGAAATTATTATGCATTTATGTTATCTTAAAATTTGTAAGTGCTCTTCTGTCCATTGCCCCAGCTGCCAATAAAACAGGTAAATATTTTTCAGGATCTGTTACAGTTTCTCTGTTTATGTAAGGACCAAGCTCAGAAACGTTGAGCTACAGCTTCACAGTATATACTCTGTGATGTGCCAGAGGCTGTGCTGTATGTTTTTCCTTACAGTATCTTGTTTTGCTCAGTGTAGCCATAGTGTAGCCTCACATTTCTTGAACCAGAGGAATGGAAACACATGGTGATATATTTGCATAACTAAATGAAAGGGTGACAAAATGCCAGAAGGGAAGGTCCTGCACTGGAAACTAATGAGGTAAAATTTGCCTAGCTGTAAATACTGGAAATTTTCTTAAGATGTTATCTTAGGCAAGGAGAGCATCTAAAAATTATTTCTGTTCTGATAAACACAGATGAAGTAAAATCAAGAACCAAAAAACTTGACAAGACTGGGAGATGGACAGTAAAACTGCCTTGAGCTTCGTAAGTGTCTTTTTCTTCTTTTTTTTTAATGAAGCGTATTTTTTACTTTTGCAAACCTTAAAAACCTTTCAACTTTGCTGAGGACTTTTGAAAAAACAGGAGAAATGTGTGTTTTAATTTTTATCAAAAGGTAAAGATGTGAAGGTGCAGCTTAACACTGTTTTTTAAGATTCTGGTTTTAAAACAAGTGAGGTTTTAAAGGGAGAAAACAAGCATTCTAGATACTTGTTTCACAGATGTTTATTAACCAAGCAGATAAATAAGGAAGGAACTGAGCATTAAAACAGGTCAGCTGGTTTAGTTCAGTTTAGTGCAGTATCTCTTTAGAGATGCCTAGTGGCAAGAAGCTAAAGGCAGTGAGTTTAGTTACACTGCAGGGAGCTTGTGTTTTCAAATCCAAACCAGTACAGCCCATTGTTTTAATAATTAGGAATAGATGGCAGGAGCAAACACCAGATCACTCATCACCACCCTATTTGTTAACCTTGCATAACTTCTGTTCAAAGAGTAAAGACAATGGACAAGCCAGTGGGTGTCTGTATTGCTGAGGAAGCAACTGACAGCACTGGTTGCTCTTGGTAGTTGCTTTTTTAGGAGCGGTTGCTTTTTTCCATGAAAGAATCTCATAGATCCACAAATAGTGTAGTGTAAAAGTTTTATACAGATTACTGCACCCAACTGTCCGTTTCTAGAAACAAAGCTTTTGGAGAGCTTTTTGAAGGAGATGGAGTGACTTTGCTAACTGTCCCCTGCATAACCATTGGTTGCACATGTGCTGTTGCGTCAGGAAGGCAGGAAATCATCCTGCATTTTAGCAATGAAAATAGCATGGTTGTAAGGGAGAAGAGGGAATTAATCCCAACCTTACTCAATAGTCAAGCTGATTTAGCAAGGTAAGTTATCTTTTGTTTCTTAGAAAAACAGAGGCATAATTAATTTATATTTGAAGTCTGCAGTCAGTTTTAGAAAACTATTTTATGACCTTCTGATGAGCTGTTCAGCTGGATGATTAACCAGAGCAAGTAGTTGTTTTTAAAAGTATATACTTCCTTAATTTCTACCTTCTTAACTTTCTTGAATTCTGTTCTAAACAGTAAAGATGAAAATAGTGCTAATAACTAACTCTGTCCATAGCCACTATTAAAAATGAGGTTTTAACTGGAATTGAGAAGAGTATTTTAATTCTCTGACTTACACAAAAACAAAGAATCAGAATTAAGGGGGAAGACTTATTTATTGATATAATAAAGAGTGTTGTGCGAATTTAAGAGCTGTGGAATTTCATGCCACCAAAACATAGTTGCGATTCCCCAGCTCAGAGGTTTTTGAACTGGTGACTTCCAGGGCCAAAATGCATGTGCATGTTTGACATAGTTCCAATGTACAGTGCTTCCAGGGAGCAGTGAACTACAGCTGTGGCTGCCAGTTGTTGGTAGTTAGCTGCTCTCTGGCAAGCGCAGTCAATCCTAAATGGTAATCTGTGTTTTAAGTCTCCTGCCATGGAAGAAATAAGCGTCTGCTGTCATGATGTGGAAAAAGGGCTGTATGTGATACAGAGGAGCCCAAAAGTCTAAACCAACCAAACCAAAGTAACAACAAACAAAACAATGTTCTCACTGGCTAACATGATTATCATTCCTCCATAAAGCATGCAATTTAAAAGTTGCTTCAGAATTACAGGTTAAAAAGAACATTAACATTAGCTTTGGTCAGGCCCCCTGCCAATAAATTCAATTTGAAGAGAGACACATTTTGCTTATTACATGCCACTGTTACTAATTTCCTTTCATTTAAGATCATCTTCATCTTAAAAACACTGAGCTAGAAATAGCTCTAATGAGAAAAGACATATTACTTAAATATTTTCAGCACTTAAAGATACTTTCTTTTTTCTTATAAGGAAGAACGCTTGGACTGGGCAGTCAGACATTGAGCCGATAGGAATCATGTTGTACCTGTCATAAGAAATGTAACATGAGTATAAAATGTTTCAGAAATTCCCTTTCATTAGGTACGATCAGATGAGTTTGACATTTCTCTTTCATTTCAGTTACTGTCTTGTGACATGTGCCAGTCTGCGGAGCGACAGGACACATGCACTGATGCAGAATCTGATTTAATCAACATTACTGTGTTCCTTCCTGGAGCCAAGGAGTAAGTACACTTCAGTGGTAAGAAAGGCAGCATGTACTTGTATCCTTTGAAAGGGTTGCTTAAGCCAAGAGATTGTCGTTTTCTTGTGTGAAGCATTTTTTTCAGTATCTGCCTTCATCTGATTTTCTGTTCATTCTTTCACTTAGAACTATCCTGGGCTGTTAAGTGGGAAAAGGAATGTGAGCTACTCCCTTGTGTAGACATCTATAAACCAGGTCTGTCTGCTGAAAATACAGCGGAGGGACTTCGGTGGTTACAAAAGCTGCAGAGGATCTAAAAGATCTCTGTTTAAATCTCTTCTTTCTATGCTGTCCTTTGAACATACAGTTTCTGTGATCTAGTTGAGCAGCTTAATAATTTCAGTCTTTCCTGTAGAAGCCATGCCACTGTAAAATAATTGAATTGGTGAGCATATGTGACTTTGTTGGTTGATAATAAATGACACTTGCCCAAGAAGGGGAAGGTCCTGTTCCAAGTACATAAATAGTGCTGAAATAACACTCAGCTGCGATTGAGGCTACAGAAGAAATTGGATTTGCCTCCCAAAGAAGCACTCTTGTTTTCATACTGTTGGGTGGTTAAAAATGAAAACAACAGGGATGCTTCCATTTCTGGCTAGTTTGGGCAGGGAAGGTTCAGCGCATGCTTGAAGACTGCCTTGTGAAACCTCACAGAAACATCTCACCCATGCAGCCCAGTGGGGCTGAGGCACTTACCAGCTGCCTGCATTCATGGTGCACCAGTGAGATTTATGCTGTTAGCTTCCTAGGAGCTTAGACTAGCAGGGATATGCACCTTGGGGCCCATAGGTGCCTTCTGCCTGTGTCTGAGAAGAGAAAGCACTCTGCGTATTAGCAGACTAGGACTAGGTTATGCGGCTGGTTGCTTTCGCTCTGGCTGACTATTCC